TGCCACCGTCGCCCGCTTTAATTTTTGGATATATTGTGCAAACTGCTATGAAAAATCACATATCTCAAAATCTTTCCGGGCGACGGTGGCAGAGTATGTTTTCTGAAAGAAAATTCCACTGAAAATTGGTGTCTTCTGCAACTTTTTGAGAAAATACGGGAAAATGCACAAGTTAATGACGTCACAATTAGCATTTCGGAGGTCAAATGAGAAAAACCATTTGTGTATCCTTACTGCAGAGAATTTCTACGATTCAGAACTAATGAATTTTAATTTCTTATATCACTTTCATATTTTTGAAAAATATAGGGCTTAATTGGTATTGAAACTGTACCTTCTTCATACCTATATTATGTATTCTATACGTATTCTCGGGTGAAACCTTTTTGATTGCCGTTTTCCCTTTTATATTTACATGTATTCAATATTTTTGTGGATTTTTTTTCTCGAGATCACGGCAGTTAAGAAAAATACTAAGTGGAATAAAAATTAAAGCCCTTAATATATCAGATAATTTATTTTATTTAAGGAAAATGATTTTTAATGAAACATGACATCATCTAAACCATTGCTAAAAAATTTAGCTTAGTACACATGAACTTTCTTTTTTCACAACAAAACAACACCACCCCACCTCACCACCCCTAAAACACTCGATAAAATATTCAATATTTATTCTAATCCTACTCTTGTGAATTATTTTCCATCAGTGTAAATTTGTCACCTTTTATAAATAATTTCAATGTCATTAATTCAACGTGTTTAACATCAACGTCATGACGTCATAGTATTTCATTCGATAAAACAATGCTTATTTTAAGGAGGCTCATTACACCACTTTTTGATGACGTACTACACAAAAAAATAAACCTCCATTGTGTCGACCGGTTTACTCTGGGGACGAATTATACAGGTACCTCTAAAATATGACCCTGACCTTTTAACGCTTTAAAAATAGATGAAACATGCGGTGTTGTAAACAGTAAAAACAAAGTAACGGATTCATTATGCATTAACCATGAAGAATTGCTTTTAAGCAGAAACAAAAGAAAACAACAGTCAAATCTTCTCCAAGCAAGTAATGTCAATTTCATAGCGATGCATGCAGTGAGCTTTATCAATCAATGACATGTTTGTATGGAGGAAATTCGAGTTAAAATCTACAACCTTGTTGAAATTAAAAAGTTATTTACTTGCACTATTTACTGTGTTGGTGTTAATTTTTATATTTGCTTTATTGATTTAAATGTATACTCTGGCAATTTATAGCTTTGTTCTGAATTTTAGATGTAATGTGATGATAATGTCAAACGTTCCTTAGTGTTTTGAGTCTTGGGTAATTAGGAAAGATAACTCTTGAAAGTGGAATTTTTATACCAAATATTTTTTTAATTAGATTTTTCATTTCGTTTAAACATTCTTTATTCAATTTGACACATGTAATTCATTGAAATATATTCCTTGTCTCTTCAGAACTCATTTTCTTAATGTTTTATGCATAGATTAAAAAGATAATGAGATTAATTGTTTTTTAGGAGAAAATTATTTTCTCTTATAAAATTATTATTAGGTATTCAGGGATCACTCTGGATTTTAATGTTGATGGGCCAATGGCCCATCAACATTAATAAAATCCATGGGCCATCCGCCGGGGGTATGGGGGCTGCGTTAGGCCCCCATTGGGGTCCAGGGGCAATGCCCCGGTAGGGGGTCCAGTTTGATTTGAAAATTGATTTTCCATGCTATTTTGTGATGAATTTCAAGTCAGTTTGATGGGTCTTTGAGGGTTTTTAAATGCCATTTCTGACACAACCAATTTCAGTTTTTTAAAATAAAATGAATAATATTATAAATATAAAATTTTAAATTTCATCTCAGTACTGAAAAATGTCATATTGGAGAATTGTTTTAGACTTCATACAACAGAGTATAAATATAACTGATAAACAGAATACCTAAGTTAATTCCTAATGCCCCTTTGATTTTATCGATTTAGTTCTCGAAAGTTGTTGAAGAGCTAAACTATAAAGGATGCAAACTTACATGAACATTTCGCTACTGAATAGACCTGGGGCAGTTGCAGATTAAATTTGGTTCAAATGGTAGGGACTGGTTTTGTATGCAAAGAACTCGGAGCAAAATATGCAAAAAACTGAAATGAGGAAATTTTTATTTGTTTGCAAAACGTATTAGTCCCATCTGATCAAATTCCAACCACGGGTGCAAAGTTAGCCACTTGGACTGGAAATGACGAACATCATTGCCGTTGACATCAGGAGTCAACGTCTTTGACTGTTTTTCTTAATCAGAGACCTCTGCCGAGTCTGGGAATGAAAAAGTTTCCGTCGTTTTATTTGTAAAACAAATGAAAGCTTTCGTTGTTTTGGGTCAGTTGCCCCAATACCGATCTTCGCTTTGGAGGCATTTCGGGCAAGTGTCTGGATACACAATGAGTAACTTGTACTTGTTTTGTTTTGAAATAAATAATCAAAGTTTTAAGAAATATTAGAACATATTACATACTGGAGTATCACTTTAATATGTTTATTATTTAAATCATTACATATAATTTTAATAAATATAATTGACTCGGTATTCGGTAAAAAAAATTTCTAGTAGCGTAATCTAAACGAAGGAAATATTCCATGTACAATTCCGAATTTAGTCTTGATCAACCAGCACTCTGCTGGTGTAAAGAACAAACGCGACTACAAATAGTCTGATTGAACGAAGTAACAGTATGCTCAGATACGTCATGAATAAAATCGGTCAGCTTGAAAACGGTCCTAAAATGCACCAAGATAAGAGTTTCGACCCACAGTTTTGCATCTTATAGCGCCATATCTGTAAGACATGCGCCAGACTGACCCCTTTCTAATTTTTTAGTGCGCCATTTACAAATATTGAGTGCCAATGGCGCAAAGGCGCAGCCCAAAGTGATCCCTGGTATTATGAGGTATTTTCACTGTGTGTACTTGTCTTAAGAAGATGCCCATCATTTGACACTGAAAGTTCTGAAATTCTGTTAATAATAAACTTGAAATAAACCATTTCACTATAATTAGACAAAAACTAAAAAATTCTATTAAAAATATTTATGATATCAATACCCCCATCTGGATATTTGACATCTGTATTATAAGTGGTGCTGTACTGAAATCTAAAATAAACTGTGGATGTAATGAGCCACCTTAAACACATGTAAAAAGAAAACTATAAAAGATATTGTTAAAAAATAAACTGTTTTACAACATACATATACTAGACTATCATTGAACAAAAATTCATAAATTTTGAATACGGTGCGGATTTTGATGCTTCGTGGCTCTTGTTCTTTATCTTTGTTCTTAAGGGATGAAAAATAGGAGATAACTCTTCCTAACAGATTATTGAATTTTAGGCTAAATTTCTGTACAAATTCATCTTTGGCATATTAATTTCAAAACTTGAAAAAATTTAATAAGTGAATTATTCAGAAAAAAAATTTGAATGAAATGAAAGCTGAAATATGTAGTTTTTTTGCTATCTGCTAAAAAATAATTTCAACTCTAATTAATGAGCTCTAATTAGCTAAGAAACATGAAGTTCACTGTTTTTTAAGGAATTAATTAGCAAAAAAGTGAAAATCTTAATTTTAAAACAAAGTCAGAGACTGGAAAAAATGGTGTCAAAAGAGACTTCAATAATGTACCTTGGAGCTTTGGTAACAGTGATCACTGATTAATGGCTGGTGATTAAGATAGGGGTTCTTAAGCAGTGGGGGGGGGGGGTGATGAGGCTTTTCCATCAGTCATCAAAGAATGGAGTTTCTCTTAGAAGTCCTGGCAGCTCTAAAATAAATAAACAACACAAAAGTTTACAATACTTAAAAATGTGCACCACATACAATAGCATATTCTTAGAAAAAGTCTACAAGTATACAGTTAAATAATTACCATGCCAAAAAAAGGACCAAGATGGTTGCATCAACATCAATACAAAAAAGGAAGTATTCCTCACAACAAAGGCCAGAAGAAAATAGGGACCACCAGCCCAGTCCAATCTCTGGTTCCCATAAGAAGACTAAGTAAAGAAGAGTTTCAGGACATTGTACGGCCACAGAAAAATGGAGTGTTAAAAATTTGCAGTTATAGATGCCAAGAGCCAAAGCAGCGAGATGAAGTTTTTACGACCCGGGCCAAGTGAGGTCCAGCCAGTGGACACCTACATGGAATCTGTGTCAGATGACCCAAATTCAAAATTATACAAAGTACTTCACCAAGAAAAGACTGCTAAATTGTTGAACAATGCATATAAAGAACACACAGAAGTTTCCAGACTGTGATGGTCAACTGGACTGGAATCAGCATGGGGATGAAAAACGAGGCCTGGCATGAATCCTTTCCATTCGATGTAAGAAGTGCCACTATACCAGTCACCGAGAAAAGCTTTACGAGGAGGTGAGAAGATCTGGCAGGGGACGAAGAGCTGCACAGCTGAATGTGGCCATGACTGTTGGTCACCTGGGTACCAGTCTTACAACAGAGGGTATGCATGGTATGCTTCTTGGTGCAAATATTGAATCAGCATCAGCCACCAACATGCAACAGACCTGCAACAAAGTGGGGAAAATTATACCAATGTAAATAAAATCAGTATGAAGAAAATTCGGCAGAATATTCAAGAACTTAATGAAAAATGTGGACTTCCGGATACCCCCATCAGAGCGGAAGGAGATGCTCGGTACAATAATGCCACCTTCAGTGCCATTGGGAAAACCCCATTCCAAGCTGCCACCCTAGTGACGTATACCGTAAGTGAAAATGTAACTCAGAGGAAGAATGTGGTAGCGGTTTTCTGTGGGAATAAACTATGTAAGAAAGGCGCACACCTACGAAGCAAAGGAAAAGAAGTTACCTGCCCAGGACACGAAGACTGCACTGCAACCATTCCTCTGGAGACCACCATTGGAGACGAGAAGGGATGGACCGCTCATTGTGTTGGTGAGTTACAAAGTGATGACTAGTCATATCCCATTTCACCAGTGATGGAGACAGTGCCGCTGCGTCTGGTGCATCTGAAAAACAAGAACATATGATTGAAAACCTTAAGGACTTGCATCACTTCTTTGACTCTCAAAGAAAACAGACTGCTAAGGCTCCATTCAGCAGTCACATGTTTCCTGGAAGAACCAAGGCCATAAGAGAATCCATGCAGAGAAGATTTGCCTTGGACCTGAAGCTTCGATGCAGGGCAGAGTACAAGAATTGCTACAAACACTACTCCGGCGACTTACCTTTGATGAAGCGTGCTATGTCTACTGCGGTTGGTTCCCTCATAAACTGCTACCAGGGACAGTGCGGGAAGTCCTGTCAACTCTATTCCTTTTCCTGTCGTGGACTGAAAAGCAATAAGTGGAAATCTTCAGTGTTGCCTAGTGACTTTGAATTAAACATGACAGAAAAAGACAAATGTTTGTTAAAAGACTGTATAAACAGTCCAGTACATTACGAAAAACTGTAATATTACAGTTTTCCATAATATAAGATTTTATATTACAATTTTTCGTAATATAACTATATTATGAAAAATTGTAATATTATGGAAAACTGTGATATAGTTAATGTTGTGAAAATCTTAAATTAAAGCAAACAAATGCTTTTATTATGAAATATTTTTGTTCCAAACTTCTGGTTTAATTATTTTCATGGTGCAGGGTAAGAAATAGTCCAAAATTTATTGCTACTTTTTGACTTTCTTTGACATAGTGCCCACTTTGGATGTCAATATCTCCCAGAGAGTAATTTTTGTGGGATTGGCAGTAATTTTCCTATATAGTTTAAAGTTGACCCAGTGACCTGATACTGGTTTTATGTCTCCGTCCTTCCCAGTAGGGATGGGTATCGCCAAAAATTTCGTATCGCGATATTTTATAAAAATATTGCGATATATTGTGATATTTATAAGCACACTTTTTCTTTGATTTATATGGAATTATTGATTATTATTCCTACTTTTTTTCATTGTTGTTGTGAATAAATGAAAAATCAATCATTTTATAATGTATTTAATGTGTTTTCATTCAAAACTTAAAAATGAAAAAAGAACAAATAACAAATAACAAGAAAAAAAATTCTAATTAACAATTCAAACACAAATAGATACAATCTTTCATTTCTGGTTTGTAAAAAAAGAAAAAAATGATAACTTTAAAGTCAATACTCAATAACAATTAGATTTGGGTTTTTTTTTCAGTTTAGGGCATGTTTTTTTTCAAGAAAAGTAAATTGTCAACATGTTTAGGCTTTAGACGTGCCCTCTGGGCATTTAATATATCTCCCGCCGTAGAAAAAACTCTTTCCGATGGGACACTTGTGGCAGGAATGCAAAGGTATGCTCTAGCAAGTTTAGCAATAAGTGGGAATTTAAATTCATTTTCTTTCCACCAAGAAAGAGGATTTTCCTGAAGAGGTATTGCTCGGGCACTTCTGTATTCATTCACCTGCTGCTCAGCAATCGTACTTGGTGATTTTGGAGGCTCAACATCAGTAATGTATACATCACCAAGAAAGCTGTGGAGCACAGATTCCATAGAATCACCACAAGTAGAGGAAGAACCTTCTGCTTTGACTCTTTATTTGACAGGGCTAACAGCTGGAGAATCTGAAGACAGTGAGGGGAGAGGTGGCTCATTCAGGACTTCAACATCATCTAATTCAGCATCTTTGTCTTCTTTCTCTCTTTTCACTTTGATTATACTCTGTACTCTACAGACTTCTAAAACAATATCAGAGTACACCGCTGATCTGTCATTTTCTGATAAAAATGGAAGCATCTTGAACCGCGGATCCAAAGCAGAAACAATGCGTAGAGTGTGTTCGATCCGATTATATCTTTCTTTCAAGTCTTTAAACATAATATTTTTCATGCTGCGGACTGTTGGGGTATCATCTTTTTGTTCACGAAGCTTGTCCAGAAGTTTATTGTGAAGTGGCAAGATAATGGACGAAGTGGGAGATTTTTCTGAACACAGGAGTGTTGTTATATCCTTAAACGGCTTTAACAGCTGGACGACTTCCTTTGCCACAGTAAAGTCATCATCATGGAAAGACTTTAATTCTGCTTCTCTTTCTTTTCCTAACTCCTTTGATTTCAAGGTAGCAAATATTTCTACCTGCATTTCGAGAAATTGTGAGATCATATCGTAGGCACTATTCCATCTTGTGCGGACGTCCATTATTAATTTGTGTTGAGGTAGTGATAAACTTTCAGCTGTATTCTTGAGCAAAGCAGCTGCAATGTTGCTTCTGTGAAAAAAGGCTACAATTCTTCTAATTTTGGCTAGAATATTTTCCAGTTTCTTAACTGCAAGGCATTTTTGACAAGCTAAATTTAACGTATGACTGCGTAACAGTTAATGTGAATGTTTCCGAGGAGTTCACCTGCTTTCATCATATTGGCAGCATTGTCAGAGACAACTGGTGGAAATCCATGAGAAGTGGGCAATTTCCATTCCTTCACAGCGTTTCTCAAAACCTCTGCAACATTTTCTCCTACAATCAGGACAAATATTTTTTTAAATTATTTTTTTCAAAGAATTAAACCAATAAAAATATACATGTATATTAATTAATATTTAATTTAGAATCAATTCATTCAATTGCCCTCATATTTCAGCAAATTGAAACAATAATAGTGAAAACATTTTTTTTTTATAATTTCCAATGTACCTGTATGAGACTCGGCCGGCATCATCCTGGTTTGCAAAACAAAATTACAAAGATTCCAATCTTTGTCAATATGGGTGGATCGAAGTAATCGTAATGTAGGATTCTGTAGCTCGTGAACTCCAGCCATCAGTGGTCAATGCTACCTAATAGTAATAAGGAATTAATTAAATTAAAATATTTATGTACTGAGTAAAGGTTTTACACATACTAGTCTATAAATCTGATAATGTTTTTCTTTACACTAGGAATATTTCACAGAAAATACTTACTTGCTCTGCTTCAAGAAGACTACTTAGAACTTGAACTTTCACATCTGAATACATTTTTGGAATGACAACTTCACTAAATGTCTTTCTGGAGGGGACCTGGTAACGATTATCCAAACAAGCTATCATATCTCTGAACTCTGGGCTATCAACCATGCTAAATGGTCGAAGATCTTTGACAATAAATCTAGCAATTTTGTCTGTGATTATCTTTGAACATTCCGCATTTGAAGGGTACTTTTTACTAAACAAAGAAACCAAGTTTCCAGATATAGATGTATTTACAACAGATGTTTTAACCTCTAATTTTTCTGAAGTAGTCTTCGTAGGAATAGGATCTTCCACGAGCAAATTCGGATGATGTCTCCTCATGTGACTGTTCAGGTTGGTAGTTCCACCGAGTGGGGCATTTCACTTCAATTTTACACTTTGAACAAACGGCTATGTTTTCAGTAACTTTTCCTGTTTTCTTGTCTTTTTTTACGAGGAAGTATTTCCATACATCTGATTTACCTCTGGTGAATTTGACTAATTCGATGTCTTCAGAAGTCGCCATTTAAACTTCCGGTAATAGTAATTTTAAAATCTGATCGATTAAATGGTTTATTTCCGGATTATTTTTAATAATGTAAAAATACCGGTATTTTGGTTCCCGTATCGCGTGACAAAAAATCGCAATATACCGGTTTACCGATAAAATCGCACATCCCTACTTCCCAGTTTAGCACCAACCATCATGGTTCTTTCATACTGTAACTAATGCATTAATGATTATCCAGCTGTTAATCTTGTGTAAGACCAATCTAAATGCTTAGATGAGACAAATGATATTCCTTAGCTATCTACTCTACTTCTTATTCATTTAGTAAGTGGTAGTAGTGACCCTGCTGTGAGCTAGATGCAGATTTAATCAAGCATAGATTTATTTTTACAATGGGGAGATAACTCTTACTTTACACTATATTATGGAAAATTGTAATATTACAATTTTTCGTAATGTACTGGACTGATAAATTTGACTTTAGGACAAAGTAATCTTGATAGAATCAAATATCTTACTTGTACACAAAAATCTGAATCTGTAAATAGGGCATATTTAAAATCAAATCCAAAATGTATTACAAGTAGTAGGAATTTTGAAAGTAGAATACATAAAGTTGTGCACTCACTGAATAGGGGTCATGGAAACTCAACACTGGAACTTTGTGAATCTGTAGGGGCACCTGTTGTCAAAGGAAGTAGAGTGGACAGAATCCATCATCTAAAACAACAACAAAATAGACAAAATTACTTTAAAATGAAACAAACACTGTTAAAATATAAATTTCAAAGAAAATTCTACAGATCTAAAAGATATCAGCTGTACAATAAAAAATCTAAAGACACGTACAGTAAATCATTAACAGATCCAAAATTAACAAGAGGCCCAGGGGCCACAGCGCTCACCTGAGAACATCGGGCTTGAATTTAAACCCCCCCCCAGGCATTCATCATTTGAACAAACTAGAATCTACACTACTTGAGGATGATTCCATATAAATATCACTAATCATAGCTTTGAAGTACTTGAAAAGAAAATTTTTAAAGGTTTCCCTATATATCCCTATGTAAAAACCCACCCTAGCCCCGGGGGTCATGATTTGAACAAATATGAATCTACACTACCTGAGGATGATTCCACATGAGTTTCATCTTTCCTGGCCCAGTGGTTCTGGAGAAGAAGATTTTTCCTATATATTCCTATGTAAAACTTTGGTCGGCCATTTTGGCCCCACCCTAGCCCCGGGGGTCATGATTTGAACAAACTTGAATCTACACTACCTGAGGATGATTCCACATGAGTTTCATCTTTCCTGGCCCAGTGGTTCTGGAGAAGAAGATTTTTAAAGATTTTTCCTATATATTCCTATGTAAAACTTTGGTCGGCCATTTTGGCCCCACCCTAGCCCCGGGGGTCATGATTTGAACAAATTTGAATTTACACTACCTGAGGATGATTCCACATGAGTTTCATCTTTCCTGGCCCAGTGGTTCTGGAGAAGAAGATTTTTAAAGATTTTTCCTATATATTCCTATGTAAAACTTTGGTCGGCCATTTTGGCCCCCCTAGCCCCGGGGGTCATGATTTGAACAAACTTGAATCTACACTACCTGAGGATGATTCCACATGAGTTCCATCTTTCCTGGCCCAGTGGTTCTTAAGAAGAAGATTTTTTAAAAATGCCATAAATTTTTCTCTAATTCATAATTATCTCCCCTTGAAAAAGGGCGTAGCACTTTATTTGAACAAACTTGAATCCCATTCACCCAAGGATACTTTGTGCCAAGTTTGATTGAAATTGGCCCAGCGGTTCTTGAGAAGAAGTCGAAAATGTGAAAAGTTTACGACGACGACAACAACAACGACAACGACAACGACTACAACGACGACAGACAACAGACAAATTTTGATCAGAAAAGCTCACTTGAGCCTTCGGCTCAGGTGAGTTAAAAAGGAAATTGTAAGACTGTGAAGGGGGCGGGGGGCATTGATGATATGTACATGCATTTCAAATGTATAAAATTTGTATTTAAAAATATATTTTGTGAACTATCTTACATGTAATAATTGTTTTTATGGTTCATTATGCATTGATTATTTTCAACTGTGTAAATGGGGAAAATGTGGACATGTGAATAATGTATTATTGTATATGTAAAATGTGACATTTTCTTATACGAGAGAGGACTGTACATGTAAAAATGTTATACTTATTATTTAGCTCATTAAAATTATTTGAATTAAAAATCTTGTTTTTCTTACCTGTTTGATGAACACAACAAAGGTTACAGATGTGATTGGTAGAAATACGGGTAACATGGGTGTCAAAACTGTCTGTTGATGACCAGACTGCATGCCATATTGTTTATCCGCCATTATTGATCTTTTCAAGGGGAGACAACTCCTGAAATCAGAGAAATTTTAGTGAAAATGAGAGTTACCTGCCCCTCTTTAGGTCTCACACAAGGAAATAATTTCACTATATATTACTATATAGCTTGAATTAAATTATTTAATTTATTAGACTCTCAGCAGAAAATTCATGAAAGAGAAAATAAAGATTAATGCAGAAAAAATATGCCTTATGCGGCTTTTAAGAAAGAAAATCGACAGTAAACTTTACCTACCCCAAAATGCACATGGGATTCACATGTTGACAAGCAGCCTACAGTCACCATCCAGGAAGTTGCATCATGCAGCATGCATGCGCACCTGAAAAAAGAGTTCCTTTTAATTCAGTGGGATAATTCTGCTAAAGAAATGATATTCCTAGTACATGACTCATCAGTCCAATTTTAATACGATAGACCTAAAACAAATTGCCAAAAATGAAAAAAGAAAAAAAAATTGTCTCTTATGATATATATGGAACTTCAATTGACTAAGTTCATTTTGATTGGCTATTTCCTTGCGTAAGACCTTTAAGACATCTGATTGGTACATTGTGTGCTTGGAAGGTGTGTCTAAGCTGTCGCTGACGGATGTCAAAGATACAGACTTCGATCCCCTTATCGTCCTCTAGATATTAAAAGCTGGTGATGTGGTGCCTATTCAATGGCTGGATAGCCGTGTTGAAATGACAGATGAATGCTGTAATGTTAGAGAAAGCTGATATTTCATTCATGACAAAAATCCTATACATTTTACTTTTTCTTTTAACAATCATAGTGAAACAACCAGAAGTCTCTGTCGAGACTGTAGCTCTACTGGTTATCTACTTATAATAAAGGAAGAGAAAAGAGAAACTTTAAAAAGCAACAAATAGAATAATGATCCTAGATCAAGTCTCTTTTTGTGGCAAGATTGCAATAATTAAACTACAACTGTAGGAATAGCTTTTAATAAAATTTTCAATTTTATTTACTATGGCAACATCAATCATCAAAAACACCAAACTGATAATTATGTATCTAAGTGTTAGTCTACATGCATGCCAAATTACATTATAATCAGACTAGAACTGTATTTGGAATAGCATTTTGAAAATATTTCACAGAAATTTCTACTCTTTATTAGTAACCATGGCAATACCATTCAGGGAAAACAAAAACCGATACAAAGAATTATGTAACTGTTATATTGTACTTTACTTATGTGCCAAGTTATACTGAAATCAGACCAAAACTGTAGGAGGAGTAGCATTTTGAATGTATTCCATAGAAATTTCTATTTTAAGTTACCAGAGCAAGACTGTTCATTGAAATTTAAAACGGATATAAAGAATTACCATGTATGTATCAAAGTGCACTCTACTTGTGTGCCAAGTTATATTGAAATTAAACCCAAAACTGTAGAAGGAGTGGCGTTTTGAAAGCATTTCCCAGTAATATCTACTTTTAGTAACCTATAATGGCAACTAAGTTCATCAAAATCAATACTGATATACAGAATTATGTATCTTAGTGCTGAGTCTACTTACCGGTATATGACAAGTTATATTGAAATCAGATCAAAACTGTAGAGGGAATAGGGTTTGGAAAGTTTTCCTTAGAAATTTATATTTTTAGCAACCACTGCAAGACACCCTTCAACAAAATCAAAAACCGATATACAGAATTATGTATTTTAGTGTAGTCTACTTATTTGCCAAGTTATATTGAAATCAGACCAAAACTGCAGAAGGAGTAGCATTTTTTAAAATTGTTTACAGATGGACAGACAGAGGGACGGACGATGGATGTACATGTATTACTATTGCATAAGCTCTTCTGGTCTTCGACCAGTAGAGCTAAAAAGCATAAACAAAGAAAACATATTTCTTGATCAAAATATCAAACACTGCATCACAAAGGACAGTCCTTCTAATTGTTTTTAATTTTTACCCTTGACCCTTTATTGTACTCACAATGTACACAAGCACTCCTAGGGGGCAGCAGTGTGTGGCATAAACAGACATTTCTGCTCTCTGATGAGTGCATGGCCTGCTGTAACTATGAGACTGGAGGATCCAATAAAGCTTAAGTCACTGGTTGTCTTATTGTGGCATGACGTAAACTCTGTAAATAGAACAATAAAGCTAAAGTCACTGGTCGTCTTATTGTGGCAACTTAAACTCTGTTAATAGAACAATAAAGCTTAAGTCACTGGTTGTCTTATTGTGGCATGACGTAAACTCTGTAAATAGAACAATAAAGCTAAAGTCACTGGTCGTCTTATTGTGGCAACGTAAACTCTGCAAATAATCCAGATGAAACAAAATACTTGCTTTTAATAAAACTTGACTTTCAGACTTCAGAGTGTCTTCACAATTCAGATACCTTAAGCTTGTAAATCTCTGCATGTTATTTGAAGAAAACTACATGTGCAAACTCTTTCCTGCTTAATCTTTTCCTTTGGTTATCCAATTAATCACATTCATTGCTGGCATTTATTGATTCTCATATTTGCATTTTTCAAGTTCATAGTACACTGTAACAAGAGGCCTATGGGCCACATCGCTCACCTGAGAAGCTTTGACCATTCTGTTATTTACCAGATTTCCCCCTTGTAATACATTATGCATCCCCACACTAGCCCACTGTCAGATCATTTATTTCGTATTAAGACATTTTGAAATCTACACTACCCCAGGATCCTTCCATGTGCAAATAAGTTTCAGCTTTTCTGGCCCAGTGGTTCTTGAGAAGAAAATTTTCAAACATTTTTCCTATATATTTTTATGTAAAACTTTGATTCCCCATTGTGGCCCCGCCCATTCCCTGGGGGTCATGATTTTTACAATTTAGAATCTACACTACCCAAGAATGCTTCCACATAAGTTTCAACTTTTCTGGCCCAGTGGTTCTTGAGAAGAAGATTTTCAAAAATTTTTCCTATATATTTCTATGTAAAACTTTGATTACCCATCGTGGCCTGCCCTTCCCCCGGCGGTTATGATTTTTACAATTTAGAATCTACACTATCTCAGAATGCTTCCACCAAATATTTACAGCTTTTCTGGCCCAGTTCTTGAGAAGATTTTCAAAGATTTTTCCTATATATTTCTATGAAAAACTTTGATTCCCCATTGCTGCCCCACCCTTCCCCCGGGGGTCATGATTTTTACAATTTAGAATCTACACTATCCCAGAATGCTTCCACCAAAATTTACAGCTTTTCTCGCCCAGTTCTTGAGAAGATTTTCAAAGATTTTTCCTATATATTTCTATGTAAAACTTTGATTCTCCATTGTGGCTCCGCCTTTCCCCTGAGGGTCATGATTTGAACAATTTAGAATCTACACTACCCTAGGATGCTTCCACATAAGTTTCAGCTTTTCTGGCCCAGTGGTTCTTGTTGAGAAGATTTTTTAATGACCCCAACCTATTTTTGTCTTTTCTTGATTATCTCCCCTTGTGAGGGGACTTGGCACTTTATTTTAACAATTTAAATTTCCCTTAACCCAAGGATGCTTTGTACCAAGTTTCGTCAAAATTGGCCCAGTGGTTCTTGAGAAGAAGTCGAAAATGTGAAAAGTTTACAGACAGACAGACAGACGGACGACGGACAAAATATGATCAGAATAGCTCACATGAGCCTTTGGCTCAGGTGAGCTAAAAATGATATCGACTGATTCTAGTAATCATTTACTGTATTTAAAACTGACCTGATCTGTTTCAACATTATGTCAGTTTGTGAGAAATGATCAAGTTCTTTACACAGCAGTGTATAGTGAATACACAACAAGATCCTTTTTTGAATTGGACAAGGATACACTCTGCATGATCCTGTCACAGGACTCTTTAAACACAAAGTCTGAATAGGAAAAATCTGTAATGGTATTCCTTGAGTTCTTCTACTGAGGAGCAATTAAGATTGAGGCAACCATCATTTCTGATCTCCTCAAACTTGCACATGTCTTTAAAGTTCATGATCTTAAAAAGCTGTGTCTGGATCATATAAATGGAGTAAGTTATGAAGAATTGCTTAAAATGCTTCTGACTGTAAGAAGCATCGAGGAAGTGGATTATTGCACAGACATGTTGAATGTGATTGCGGGAAGAACTTTCTCCATGTAAAAGAAACAAGATCCTTTTTTGAATTAGACAAGGAAACACTTGCATGATCCTGGCACAGGACTGAGACTTTAAACACTTTTCACAAGTTTATTTGAAAAGGAGGCATTTCATCAAGAAGCAGTTACCTCTAAAATTATAAAAGTGCGCTGCAGGGAGTGTCAGAAGAAGCCAACACGATCTTATGGGCAGGAATTATTTTCTCCCCTATTTTGAAGGCTACATCACAAATCTCCTGATTGTAAAACTTTTCCCTAATGTATTTTCCTAAATTGGTATAATGATGATCTTGATCTTTAGAAAATGGAGTTAATTCAATTCGTGACTTAATGAAGGAGAGAGAGGAGACTTGTACTCTGTTTTGGATTTTGAACTTTGTGAAGGAGATGATTTATTGTTCAAAAATTGGTTTCTGGAGCTGGAGGGTGCAACAAATGGGAGCTGCTTCCACAACTCAATGGAGGATCAGGAGGAGCTGGGGTGTTGTTTTAAATGTTGCTCCTTGCCAGTTGCCACGGAGTCAGATGAAGGAGAAGATTTAGAGGAGTCCCTAATGTAGATTTTCCGCAACTTCCATGGAATTCCAAAGCATATTCCATGGAATTCCATGGAATTTTTGTTCCGCGGAATTCTTAAGAATTCTCCGGAGTATTGGGACGGAACTTTTTCGGAATGATTTGGAATTTTTAATCTAGCCTGGAAAAGAGCGGAACAATGCCAGAATGGAAATTTGCGGAGGAAATCCATGGAATTCCAGGATGTTTGTAAATCTAAGGAATTCCATGGAAATCCATGGAATTCCAGGATTCCAAATTCCAAATACGTGTACAATGAAAACTGAAGTAATAAGTGCCAAATAATTACAAAAAAAAAATTGATAACATCATAATTTTTCATAGATCAAATCTATATTTTCAAAATAAAAAATTCATTGTTTTACAATGTTTTTTTTAAGACAAATATTACATATAATCTCAGATGTACAATATAAGCACACTTTTTAAATGTATTCTCACTGGAAGTATTTTACAACAAAGGTTATTTACAAAAATATCCGGAGAAGAATATGATTACTGGAGAATCACCTTGATTAAATTAATGATAATCATGTTAAGATATACATGTATTTAGTATACTCCAGTCTGCATTTTCTAAAATAAGAAGTTTGTTTTATTAAATGACATTGGACATGGAATTGGAGAGGTCATCGAAACCTCAACAGAGTATACATTTACAATGAACTGCCAGTGGCTTATGTACTGGTACAGAGTTAATGACTAGAGTGACAAACACATGTATTAAATGCAAAAAAATATGTACTACAAAACTATATTGATACAAAGATCCCATAAAATCAACAGATGCTCAAGTATTTTCCCCCAACATACGTGCCAAAGATCCCAATTAATGAAGATCCAAAACTTCCAACGTGTTTGCTAGAGAATCACTTCCTCACTGATATCCCATGAAATTAGTAAATGGTTATGTTATAGGGTTGACAGATATAATTGGTGTCACAAACGCATTCACTTTCAGTACGAAGGCTCAGAAAGTTGGATGATGATCATTCCCACAGACACTTCAAACTTTCCTTGCACAATTTCTGAAAGAAAAGATGACCATTAAGATGCATCATTATTGATATCCATATAAATATATGACAAATAATAAACTAAAACTATACAAAACAATTGGTTTTTTCGACCTGGCAAATCAGTTTACCGTAGAATATGAATTCACTATCTTGCAATTTTTTGTTCAAATTAGGATTAATTCTGATAAATATAAAAATGTGAAAAGTTTATAGATGACAGACAACATCCGACACTGATCAAAAAACTCACTTAGGCCTTAAAATGGTTCAGGTGAGCTAAAAAGAAAAGATTAGAGCTCAAGCTCAATGCCTGACTGATACTGAAAAAGATATGATTTTATTGATTTGAAAATAATTAAGAAATCTGACCTTTTGGGGTTTTTTTTTTTCATACAGCTCTTGTCTTTGTGAGCATTATAAGGGATTCCTGTAGAATGGATGGTTACTTCATAGTAGATGATTGCAGCATGTTTGATCTAAAATAATTATGCATGCCTGTGCAGTTAGCATGTTTAGATTACCTGTCAGAATTCATTGTTTTAAATTATTAGAATAAGGAATTTAAGCGTGTTAAGAATATAAACCTTTAAATTTTGTTTACATGGCAAACTTGCAATAATTTTTTTTTAATCTTATGCTAATAGACATGGATTAATAAACTTGGTTTGAATGATAATTTGAGCAAATTGAGCTAGTTCTCACCATATTCACAAGCCTAGTGACTGATTGGCTAAGCATCTACATCCACCAAGTTATAAAACGCCATCGCTGTGGTGATCATCTCAGGCACTTATAATGCAGCAACTATAAAATAATTAAAATGAGAGCTGAAAATGACCATGAACATGCATAAAAATATATAATTTATTACATTGTACATCATACTCTGTAAATGTTATCTTAAGTACAGCTATTTATAAGAACCAGGCAGAAATGAAAATAAGTGATTCATGATAGTGATAGATTTTTCAAAAACTATCATACTTACATTAAGATACATCAAACTAAATACTTGATCACAGTTATAAATGGATTTCATGCATAGTTGATTAAAAAATTAATTTAATAGATATTGAAACAGTCAACAATATCCATTGAAAGGTGTCTGTACGTGCAGGTGATTTTTTAAGAAGGCCAGCACTCTCCTTGAATGTGAATTATAAGATATTGAACATCTAGTATCAAAGAGTAAAAAACAATTAAATAACCCATGGGTTATTTTAATTACGAATAGATATTGTGATTTTAAATTATGTAAAAACATGACATTCTAGTTATCTCCCTTGGCACTCTTTAGTAAAAGGAGTTGGAAAGAGTGTAATTTAACTCTTCAGTTTAGAAGGTGAGGATTAAGAAATGTGTGTGATTTCATCTTCATTTTGGAAGTTTTGCCGGTTTTTATACATCCAAGGGGCATGTAAGTCAAAAATGTTTATTAGAAAAATATAAGCCTATGATAAAAAAAAATAACTGCCTGCAATTTGGTTAATTTTATCTGACAAAAACAAGATTTATTTCCTAAACATGCTAAATGAGAACAGAGTTTGAGTGTTTTGAAAAAGGCTAACTTATTTAACAATAACATCAAAACTACTTAAATCAGTTAATTTGGGGGAAAAAACATTTAATTTTGTACTGGAATTTGAACAGTAGCTCGCTGCTGGGGATTACAGTATGATGAGTATCTCTCCTTTCCGTCGATACTCCCTTAGTGCTGCAATATACACAGTCGACTGGAAGAAGACCTCAGCATACATGAAGTCATAGCTAGAAGCAGTGAAAGCCACAGCAGAGATTGGATGGAGCATAATTTTTTCTATGTCTCGGCGCCTCTATGGATCTCATATTTAGATCAGGTATTTAATATATAACACAGACTACTGTCTGAACAAAGAGACTATTGACTATTTTATTCAAATTGAAAAAGGGGAAAGTCAAGAAAAATTGACAGCAAACATACAGACTGACTGCTAGTAAAAGTTATCAGTCCTGCTAAAAATCTACCAGCCCGAGAAAATAATTGTCTTTTGTAAAATTGATTTTTGAAACTAGAGGTACTGTGAGCAATGAGCAAATTTATACCTCTGGCCTCCCATATGAATATAATAGTGTCCATGTTTTGCTGTAGGAAAGTATTATATTAATAATGCCATACTTTCGTACAATACCACTATTTTTTGCCTAATTTTATACTCTTAAACACACGAAATCTCAGGAGCTTCTGGGGCTTTGCCCCCTGGACCCCCTTCATTCAAACTATGGTATGACTAACAAATGACTGTACTTTGGATCATCACTATCAGGACCCCTTGCCTGAATAAAGTTAGCGACGCCCCCCCCCCCCCCCTTTCCCCTCTTCCCCCTTTTAATCACAAATCCTGCACTGCTCATGATACCATTAGTTGATTTGGAAGCGATTAATCAAATTAATAAATTTGAATTAATAAAGACATTAAACAAGTCCAGCTGAGCATCGATATGAGCAAATTGGTAAGCCCACGGCAAAATGCGTGCGTCTCCGGCGGTCAGATTTCAAAATCTGTTTTCGGAATGGCCAATGGGTCCTTCTTAAAATCGTGAATATTTAATTAAGCCCTGAAAAAAAAAACCCAGATGTTATGGCAAAACCATATGAATATTTTTCTTATTCATTTAATCAAAATGTAAAATTGTGCCCTTTCAAACTCTATATTTCCAAACAATATGTGTATGATATTCTTCAAATGCAATTCCTTTTATTTGAATTATAAATAAGGGTGGGGAGTCCTACAAAATTTAATTGACAAGCAAAACAACCAATAAAATACTGTTATGGTTTTATCAGTTGAAACAGGGGGGGGGGGGGGGGGGGTGTTAACCTCCACAAAAAATCTGAAAAAAACCATAAAACCCTATCCGAATGGGGGTGGGGGGGGGGCATCCCAAATTTTCCTACAAGCAAATATATACACACATAGAAAGAGAGAGATTTATAAATATGAGAGCACATACAATATGCATGGGTTTCTGCCAATGTTTTTGTCTAATTTAGGTTTAAAACTTAAAAAATAAAATTTGATCCAACAAAACTAAAACTCTTTTTCAATTTATAACTAATAGTATGAATTCATGATGATATCACTAGTACATGGGGAGGGGGGAAGGTAAATAAAAATTTATTATCAATAATTCAAAAGCTAAATTGTTATATAAATGTATGCATTCTCTTGTCATATGATGAATTTCATGATTTGTTATCATTTTAGATGCAATCTGAGCCTTGTTCTGAATTTCAAAATCCCCTTTGACAACACCTGCACAGCTGAGGTAATGTAAATTTAAAAATTGAGGACAACCGTCACCAAGAAAAGATTATCAATTCAACTAACGTTAGTGTTATATATACTTTATATTAATTATGTATCATTAGATAATTCAGTATTTTGTGTTGACAACTTGCAGTTTTCTTAAATTATCATTATTTAAGAACATTCCTTTTCGTTTAGCAATCAAGGACCTTCTGACTAATGGCTGAATTATAGTGAACACTGCCATTCAGAGACTTTGAAACAGGTATTTCTTCTGATCTTGATTCTCTGAATTTTTTAGCTCACCTGGGTCGAAGGCTCAAGTGATCTTTTCTGATCAAAGTTTGTCTTTTGTCTGTCATTGTCATTCTTCAAGGGGAGAGAATTACAAAATTACCCCGGTAATAGCATTAATGATATCTTCTCAAGAACCAATGGCCCAGGAAATATGAAACTTATGTGGTAACCATTGTCGGGTTGTGTAGATTCAAATTTTTGAAATCATGAACCCCAGGTGTAGGACGGGGCCACAATGGATGATCAAAGTTTAAGTTTTTAACATAGGGATATATAAAAAAAAATATTTTAAAATCTTCTTCTCGGATACAGCAAGCCTTGATTGGTAATATTTATATGAAAGCATTTTCAGGTGATGTAGATTCAAGTTTGATCAAATCATGATCCCGGGGATAGGGTGGGACCACAAAGGCCAATCAAAGTTTTACATAAGAATATAGAGAAACAATCCTATAATAGAAATAATCTTCTAAAGAAAAGAAAAGCCAGTAAGTTATATATACATATGGAAGCATTTTCTCGTAGTGTAGATTTGTTCAAATCATGACACCCCCCTCAGGTATAGGGTGGGGCCACAATTAAAGTTCAAACTTGTAGGGAAAAACTCGGTGAGTGATGTGGCCCTGGGTCTCTTGTTAAATCATTTATCTACACATATATGTACAGTACAACTCGGTTATAACAAACTAGGACCTGTAAAAGTACTTCACTATATCCATAATTTGTTATATCCATATTTTTAATTTGTAATATTTATATAGTTGGGGATCCAAGAAGACTTCACTATATCTGTGAATTCACAATGTCCGTGTATGTACTAAACAATTTTTACTGCAGTTACATGTATGTGGAAGCCAAATAGGAGTAAAAGATGTATTATTGTAAATGTAACACAGTGTCATTTTCATTATTTTGTTCAATCCATACAAATGTTTCTTTGAATATTGGAAACTAAAATCAGTAGAAAGTTAGAAATTAAATTTATAAAATGCAGCATATCTAAACAGCATGACCAGTTACTCTGGTGAGTGTTATGGACCATGGCCTTCTTGTATTCATGATCATGATCATAGAGAAAATGAACCTCAGCTACTCTCCTCCTTCAACAGCAACAAGAAAAAAATTGCTTTATGGAATGCCTGTTTTCATTAACAAAGTTCAAATTTTGAATTATATTTTTTCCAGATTGATGAATGAACCACATGCATTATATCAGAGGAAATTAGCTGGAGCACCTACTTAGCAGCCAGGACACATAGATGTATCTGTACAGTTGATACAGATAATCTCAACAGCACATTTCTAAATGATGGCCAAAAAAATCTAATAAAGACACTGTCAGTTTAAAACTATTTGAAAGAAATCCAGACAAGAAACAAAGGATATTGATTTTTAAGCTCCTCCAAATGTAAAAGGGGTTTTATTGAAACCAAGACCAGGATACACCCAAGGACATTGAATATTACACCCCTTCAACATAAAATTTTGAATTTTTGTTTGCCTATCTAGTCAAGAACATGGATTTTTTGACATTTGATACACTTTATAATGTTATATTGACATTTTTTCAAGATTTCTTTACTGTAAACTATATATTTCAGCAAAAAGTACATTTACAGATGACTTTTCAAAAATTGCTTTAAAAATACAATTGAAATATTTAGATCATGTCTCATAAATGGTTAATCACAGTTACCACAGAAACCAAATATTTGTTTAAAATAAGTAAGGTACAAAAAAAATGTTGTGTCTTTCAATATTTTAGCTAATGGCCACTCGTACAGTTTTCTTCATACAAGCTAATCACATTGGCTAAATTGTATAGGCAAATACAATATTTTTGGAGATGTTGTCATGGTAACCAGATACAAATCACAAAAGCATATTTAAAAAATATATATTTTCATGCATTTACAATAAACTGTGAAAATAATAGATGTATGTTAGTCAATAATTATTTTGTATTTTATGGAGATTTTGTAAAGACAATTTATTTAAAAAAGCATTTCCAGAAGAATTTGTTACCATGGATACAAAAATTTATGAGAAATCCACTGGTTTTATCTAATATTTGCAAGGTTCTATCTTATATTATCATTTTTTTGGTATTTTTTCCACAACATACTCTGAAAATGATGTATTTTGGTACTTTCTTGAAAAATGAATTTTTGTGATATTCTGTTGCCATGGTTACAGAATATTTTTGACAAACCCATAGGTTTTGTTTTGTTTTGTTTTATTAGAATTCAGAATGTGGTCTTTCTATCCCATGCTTTCAGTTTTCTATAACATGTGGGATTTTCTCTAACTGTGCTCTTAAAAATGGATATTATTGTGAAAAATGAATTTTTTTGACATTTTGTTACCATGGTAACAGAATATTATTTAAAAACCCATGGGTTTAATTTAATTTTATTGAAATTAAGAAAGTGCTCTTTCTATTCCACATAATCAGATTTCTTTAACATGTGGGAATTTTTCTTACTATGCTCCTAAAAACGGTTATTATTGTGAAAAATGAATTTTTGTGACATTTCGTTGCCATGGTAACAGAATATTTTTTAAAAACCCATGGGTTTTATTTAATTTTATTAAAATCAAGAATATGCTCTTTCTATCCCATGTTATCAGATTTCTTCAACATGCGGGCCTTTTTCTTAATATGCTTCTAAAACATGTTGGATTTGAAGAAATATTGTGAAAAGTGAATTTTATGAAATGACCTATGTTAAATTGAAATTCAGTACCTTTAATAAATCCTATATAATTTTATCCTTATGGTAATCATTTATCATTTTGTATGTACTTCTCAGGAAAAAAAGATTTATTTATGGTACTATCATCAAAAAAGCTCTGTTCCTGTGTTCAATAATAGCTAAATTCACATTTTTTTCAATTTTTTGCTTGGTTGCCATGTGCATTTACATGGTGCATTGTTTCCATGGCAACAAAGGCTGGCCAAAAAAATTATGTTGTCCAATGATGTTCCCTTGGTCCATGAAGCAACATATTAAAATTTTGTAAAAATCTGAATTGGTCATGAATCACCCCCTGCCTGGTTCTTACAAATAGCTGTACTTAATGCTTTAAATCAGTTCGATCCCAAACGAGGAAATTCGAGTTTAAATCATGATGATCTTAAATTATTACAAAATTGAAATAGTGAATTAACGATTTCACCATCGGGCAGTTTATGTGTGGTGTCCAGACTAATGAACAGTAGCAGAAGCGTTCTTCATTCAAGGACACATAAAATACTGTACAATATTGTACCTACCAGGTATCAAAATGTCTTCATCTTCTTCCATCCAAAGCTAAACATGATTCCCCTGTTCTAGACACCCTCTTTCCAACTTTCCTTCTGTGCAACATCAACATGGCATTCGATATTTTTGAATTTCGGCGTGTTGTTTAAATTAATTGTTCATCGAGCCCGACTTCGAGCCCGATGTTATTGTACTATTATTCGACAGTTAAAAAATCTAAGTAATTTGCCACATTTTTCCAGCGCAGAAAATGGCTAAGTTTCTCATTTTATCATTTTTTCCAAAGAATTCCACTACTTTCCAAACCAAAAAATGTCTAAGTCCAATTTTTTTTTCAAATTCCAAAATATTCCAAAAACTTCCAGACACACTTTTCAAGTTTGGTATAGAAATGATTGGAATTCCTTGGAATTCCAAAACTTTTCCAAACCCTTTGGAAAATCTACATTAGGGAGGTGTTGCTCCCAAATTTCCTGGATTCCGTTGGTGGCTTAATATTGTCCCTTCCTAACACAGATGGTGTGAAGTCGGGGAACTGTTACCAGAATGGATTCCATCCACATTCACTGAAATATAGCAGTCATAGTTATGTTTAACATTGTTAAATTCCATTTTCATGGTATTAACTGTATCATTTAATGAATAAAAGTACAGTATCTTTGTCCCATTTTAATTCATCTATTATTATGTTCAGCAATAGTAAAGGGAAACAACTTCTTTTGGAAGATTGATTGATTGAATGTTATTTTAATAACATCCCTCTTGCGAATTTTTCACTCATATGGAGTCGACACCGCCATGCGCTGATGGAGAGCTACAAATTTTGTCCTATACTTGGCACTCTGAAGGGCCATTTAGCAGGGAGGGATCTTTTTCGTGCCAGCACCTACTGTGACACATACGGGACCTCAGTTTATACTGTCTCATCCTAAGAACCTGTCCCACAGTGGGATTCTAACCTGTGACATAAGGATCAACTCATTATCCAACTACTCTAAAGCAGACGCTCTAACCATAATGGGCCACACGGGTGACTCTTTTGAAAGAAATAGATTGACTAAAGGGTTCAAAATTTAAAAATCTGGTATGAAATTAATTTAGATAGGGTCTAAAATATCTATAATTTTGGAAAATGCACCCTTGCTCATCATGATCATAACCATGCCTTTAGTATGTATGCTTGTCTGTTTCCTCAATAATACTGCATGATGATGATGATGAGGATTATAATGATGTTGATGATGATAATGATGATCATGATGATGAATTTCTAGTATACAGTATTACACTTTATACAGTTATTTGGCCAGTTCCGAATAAGAAACCGATTCGACGGTGCTATAAATATACTAGGAATTATATCAAAATCCAAGTGTTTTGTCAAGGTAGTTCGATGACTTGTGGAATTAAATATTGTTTCATAAAAGTTCAGACTTCCCTCAAAAAAATTTATTTCGCAACTTACCATAGGTGTCCATTTTACCAGTTACGAATAACCCGACGGGTTCCGGATACCCTAGAGATTCTTATTCAATTCAACCCTAAATTAACAAATACACGTCCCAGACGTTATCCATTGGCATGCCTAAGAAAAGTTAAATTAATTGCTTACCAATAAATTATATGTATTTCCAAAGGTTGAAGAGAAACTAGAGGTACTGTGGGCACTGAGCTCATTTTAATGATACCCCACGCCTCCTTTATGATTATTTAAGACAAACTCCATGTTTTACCCGAAATAAATGTCAGATCAAAAAGTAAAATAAAAGGTCACAATGTCACAATGCAATAAAGAATACGTGAAAGTATTATTAAATCTTATTCAGTTGTATAGGAGGAATTGCGTATAAGAGATGGATATACCTTTCAATATTACAAAGAATGGCAGTATCTATGTTTTTTTCAGGGAGCCCAAATTATGTACCAGATCCAAAAATAAAATAGGTGCACTTTGGCACTGTTAAACAAAGATTCTGTCAAAGACTCATTAAATTCTGTGAAGCGTCATTAAACTTTATTCAGTGGTAGAAGAGGGGTTGCGGATAAGAAATGGATACACCAGAGCATATATCAGACAGACGGACGTACAGCTAGACGGACGGACGGACGTACAGACGGTTGGATGGACAAACATCCCATTACTTTATACCCCTTCTTCCTGTTTTTCAAGCGGGGGTATAATAAGTCACGTTTACAATGAAAAAAACATCGAAGAGTGAATTTATAATAGTGTTTAAAATGGGTATTCGGAACTGGTAAAATAAGAACACGAAAATATTTCGATATCTTCCAGTGTTCTAAATATTTATTTTTGACAAATTTTTAGTATATATTAGAGTACATATCAAACTTACTTTTGATACCAGGAGTGGAACGTTGTTTTATGTGAAAAATTTATGCATCTACAGAGGTTTTTCTGCAGACTTACGCGTCGCGGTGATTCAGATTTGTTGCATTGTAAAAGTAGCCAAATGATTCAAGTACGATAACGAAACCAAACTGAGGGCAAAAAATTAAAACTTCACATAATTCAAACACTCATAGATAAGCCTTCTTACCATAGAAATCAATTTATTTTTACACCGTTGAATTTATTAATTATCAGTCTTTAAATTACTAATTATTCGGAACTGGCCAAAATCCGGAACTGGCCAAACGACTGTACTGAAAACAAACGAGTCTCACCCTTCAACCATAAACCACTTACCCCAGGGATATGAATTTCAATTAAAATAATTCAAAATCATTTCTCATAATTATCATGAAGTTTTTCCACTGAAAACCAAGGGAGTCAGAAAAGATTTAAAAAAAAAATAATGCATTACCACCATTTATTTAATAGCCACCGCCATCAACCCCTGACTCAGGGGACAAAATATTCACAATTAAGTTGGTAAGAGAGATCCTTGTTCATCGTTAAACTACTCATATATAAACTTCATTTATCTGCTAAATACAGAAGAGCAATACCAAGAAGATTTTTCAGATAAATATAATGCACCTTCACAATAATCAATAGACCCCTCAGAAAACTGCAAAAGAATTAATCTGGACCTGCCAGTAAATGCAAACTCTTGTCCAAAAAGAGGCCCCGAGGGGCTACATCACTCAACTGAAGAGTAAGACTGCAGCCAGGGAATAATAAAAATCAGTTACATGTAGCGGATGACAAATCCCATTGCCCGACACCTGGGGTTAGTGAATTTTAGGGTTGGGCAAGTGAAATTTTAATTATCAACCACTTGCCTGTGGGCAAGTGACTTAATCAATTATCAAAAATAAAATCAATATGTATGCCAATATTCTACTCAGTATTTGTCTTTCTCTTTTTTGAAATATTTATAAATACAGTATAAGTTAATGGTAGGCAGACAAAAATTCAGGTAGGGCAAGTGAATTTTGACCATGTACAAGTTTGCCCTTGGGCAAGTGCCTTAAAAATCTATTTGTCAGCTCCTGATGTATGTATTAAAAGTGGTCAAAATTTAACTGCGCTCCACAGGACAGAACATATGTCATACATGTAATACACACAAATCAGGTTTGACATAACCTTGATTTAAGGTCATTTAATTTGACCAAGATCAAGGTCACATCATCAGCATGGTTGGTCCATAACAAGAAAAAGCATTGAATGCTCATATCTGGCACAAAGTTTGATCATAATATGAGGGTGTACCATGACCCTGAACTATGGTCACTTGAAAAAGTCAAGGTCACATTATCTTTAACGAGGCCCGATCTAGTTGAAAATTACGAAAACGGAATGATAAAAAATTTTTATTTTTGGAAATATATTTGTATGTTTTATGCTTAGAAAAATTAGAATGAAATTTTGTTACCTTGCCTTTATTGTAGTCAAATGGGGGCACTGTCAAGATATGGACCATTTGTCGTGTTTTTATACACAATTACATACTAAAACTCTTCAATAAACAAAGAAATTTACAAATAAAAAAAAATACAT